CCTGGCCTCCCCCCACCCTCTCCTGTTTTGTTACTGCATTGCCTTTCTCATTTGTGCTTTTCCTGATGCCTGTAACCACTCATTTCCTAATAGATTCCATTCTGTGCCTATGGAGTTTGTTCATTTTCCCTGTCCTCAAGCACTGAATCATTGACTTCATTGTACAGAAAGGAATGAATCCCCAGGCCACTGTGCAGAGCAGGTTCCACCCTCCCATGGCTGAAGAGGAGGAGGGAAGTGGCTGAGCTCAAGGGATGCCCATGGCAGGCTCTTGGCTCTGAAGCACTGAACAAGCTCATTATTGCTGCATCCTCCTCACAGCCCTTCCTCTAACCCTGAGTCTCCCATAGCTCTGGCAGCTTCTTGACAAGATTAATCAAACTAGGTGAAGGCACAGTGTATGCTATAGAAAATGCAGAAATCAAACCACTCAGCTTTGAGGCTTTTGCCCCATTCATACATGGAACTATGATTGGTTTTACATTGAGTTCTTATCTGTATTTAATACTTGCTGACATGCCCATTGCTTGGTTCCTGAATGAAGTGCATAAATCAGATGTAACACCATCTAAATTGGACAGAGTGCAGAATAATTACAGTGACTAATAACATTATTGCCACTTGATTCTCACTAAACTAACTCCCAAGTTCACAATCAGAGAGGGGTGCCAACAAGCATTTTCACTTGAAAAATGCAGTAAATAGTTATTTGTAATATCTTCAATTGCTGAGATATAGGTTAAGGTAGTAAAGAGATAAGGTAATGATCAATATTTGTCAGCTACTGGGAATGTAACCAGAAAGCAATGCATCAGACATTTCCAAAGGCTCACTATTGGTGGCTGGGACATAAACCTCACTTTCTCTAGCTATAAACTGGTCTTGGTGCAGCTTCCTTCCAGTTATTTTCTTCTCCATGTGTCCCCCAGCACATTCCTATACCTAGAGGTCTTAAGGGAATTACAGTCTAAAACACTCCAGCATAAAAAGAACTTTTAAATTTTTCCTTTTTTCCCTATCTCATTTTCTGCCCAACAGACATCTAACTTGTGTGTGGTGAGCTCCAGCATATTTCAAACTCTTCCTTTTGAGCTGGTAGCAGGAAGACAGAGAGCAAACCACAAACACTTCATCTACAATAACCCCTCAAAGTTTCAGAAGGTTAGGGAACAGGCTGGCATTGCATTTCCTCGCTTCAGCAGAAAATAAGATAGGTTGGGAATACTGCAGGTTTTTTACAATATCACCATTGCTAATCAGGTCTGATTATTCATGCTAGAAGCTGTGGCACAAACAGTTTTTTGAGTCTTTGTGATGTTCATACTCTCTGCTTTAAAAATAAATACATAACTTGGCAGGGGCACAGTGCAGCTGGTTGCATGGAATACTGTGGTGGACAATACCAGTGTCACATTGCCAAAAATAATCTGTGAGCACAGCCACAGCTTTCGGGTTAAAGTTGTCCCCATTCAGTGAAGCAGCTATTTGCAAATACCCATCACAGAATATTTGGTTTCTAAGTATAAAGAATTTCACATGGCATAAGGGGTCACTGGTAAGGCTGGTAGGGATTTTTTTGGTTAAACGTTCTTCCAATTGAAATCAGTCCCAAAATATTCTGAAGAACCTGAATGATTACTATTTACTCCCTGAACTGTAACAATTACTATTTTTTCCAACCTCAGGAAAAAAAAAATCTCAGCTTTTGCATGAACATCTTGTGAATTAGTTGTAGACAAATGTCTTATTTTCTGGGAGAATCCCTATTCTGTATTGCTGAGACTGAAGGAGTGTTCAGTATAAGATGACACTTCTGAGGCCAGTCCCTTTTTTAGTTTTAAACGTGGACTGCCCCAAGGTAGGGCAGTGCTGCCCGAAACCTCCCAGCTGCTCACAGCTTTCTGGGCTCCTGCAGTGGTTAGCCTGGCACTGCCCATTGCCCAGACTGCTGCAGAATTTACACTGCACCACTGCTGCTTCAGTTATGAACACTTCCTAAGTATCATCCAAATACACGTGAATTTACTTACCCACATAGTTATGTTAAATACATGGGGAGAAAATGACACAAGTGTCCCATTTGCTTACTTATTTCTAGAAAACCAAAGGTAAGTAATCAGATCACATACTTTAGTGAGCTTGTGAACACATGCAACATTCAGCAGCAATGGCCAGTTAGACTAAAATGTAGTTTAATTCAGATTCAGACAGATGTATATATCAAGCTGAGATTTCTCTTGTAGGACTTAGGAGTTCATTCCAATGGGAGCCTCTTTATAAATAGGAATAATTCTTCAATATGGCAAAATGCACTTTGCCAGAGGTGGCTTTTTGCTTAATTCACTTTGTGCAAATGGCCAGTTGAATGAGTAATTTGAGCTGTGTCTCCTATGTGATGACTTAGTCTTGTGTAAGCATCTGGCTGTGCGTGAGGGGCACGGTTACTCAGTGTGGCAAGTGTGAGAATGACTGTCTTTAATTCACTTGAAATTCATAATTTAGAAGAGTTCTGGGCTTTTAACAAGACAGAAGAGAAGTCAAAGAAGATCTAGAAATTGAAAACATATTTCTTTACATCTTTGTAAACACTCAGGGGAGAAAATGACAGCACCATCAGTAACCCAGCAACCGAGAAGCAGCAGAGTCTGTCACTGAACACTCGGACAAAGTACAAGTTCACCTCGTTCATCTTCCCCAGTACATCCTTGGGGTAGCTTTCTCCACTGTGTTTAGAGAGATGACTGAATAAAACTGAATAAAACTGATATGTCTAAGTAATAAACACATACAGAAACCAGTCCTAGTTAGCTACACCTTATTTACATTGTTTTTAGAAGTCTCCATGGCTGGAAGTCATTTCAGCAGTGAGTGTGGTGCTCATGATATTTTTAACGCAGTGAAATCATGATGTTTTGACATATTGAATAATAATTGCCACACGGGAACTTCATAACAGCAGCATCCATGAAGTACTGATTTAGCTCTACTCAGAAGACAAATCAATGACTTTCTAGGGTTAAAAAGTTGACAGTTTTGTTACAGTGAAGGTCCCACTCATGCTGGTAGCTTCAGTGCTGCCCTTTACTGCGATACAGCTGTGCTGGCATTCCTGTTCAAAGTGCACTCACAGATGCAGCCAGAGGAGAGAGATATTTGGAAGGTATGAATGGTTTGGATAAACTGGTCAGCTATTCATTGCTTCAAACCATTCTATTGAGAGGCTCTCCTCAGCTGTACTGCAGAGATGGAATGGGAATGGTATAGGATTGCAGAAACTCCTGCTCCAAGAGTCACTCAGTTGCCTCAGACATGCCAGTACTAGAACTGAACAGAAACATACTGAGAATTTTTACTTACTACAAAATAACAATTCCTTAAAACAACTGTTTCTGTGAAATTGCTGACTTAACTAACTTACCCTTTCAAGGTAAACTACAAAAAAGATTCGAAAAGCGTTCCAATAGATTTTTGGGGAATTCTGAAACAGAAAAGATTCTCATTTTTGTTTTTTCCTTATTAAGAATCAGTAACAGAAACAAGAAGCATCCTTTTATTAGATGACAGCACTGGTACCATTTCTGTCCCGTTACCTCAGGGTCCCTCCCACCTTAGGTACAGGTGTATGGGATGGACAGAGCTCTGCATGGGCAGGGGCAGCCCCAGCAAGAACAGCAGAGGCTGCACCAGGCACCAGAGACTGGGAAGAAGTCAAAAAACACCTTTGGTTTCTTTTCTCTCCCAGCAGTAAATCTGTTAACTGACTTCAAAGCTCCTGCTTACTAATGAGCTGTGGAAAGCCAGGTGGCTCAATTCCCTTAAAATCCTGGCAAACTGCAGGGATATTTGGCTCCTGCCAGATCCTGTGGGCACTTGGAGGATGGTCCAATCCATCCATCACAATAAACTGCCTTTCCCATAGCTGACCAGCTTTCTGTCTACATGATCTCTACGCTATGCTTGATGCTGTGGGAGTTACTGTATTGTCACCAGGACAGCACCATGGTCTCATTGCAGGAGAAAAATGTGCTTGTCTGTGATTGCAGAAGCCACGAGAAGGTTCTAGAATTGTCAATCAGTTGAAAGTATCTCAAAATACATGAAAGACTCAGCAAAAAAGATACACTGACCACGTTGAAATCTGTTGAAATTTAGGTTTGCAAATTGAATGCAGCATACAATTATGATCAAATGTTTTAGAGGCTGGAACTGAGCACTAGAAACAACAAATAAATTTTATCTTAGAAAGAAAAGCATACAGGCTGTATTCTCTACTAAAAAGGAACAAATCAATTTCAGAAAGGGTATAGGGTTAGTGGTGGCTAAAACTCTACATAAACAATGATTAGCTCCTGTTTTTATGTACGTCTGCTACAGAAAACATGATCCTGGTATGATATTACAATACCCAACACCAGGGGAGAGGAGAAAACATGAGGACAAAGTGTGTGCTTTGAAGAAATCATCTAATGATAGTCATGAGGCAAAAAAGCACATTTTACACTGTGATGCTTGTCTACAGAACACAACATAATGCTGTGCAAATAACAAAGCTGCTCCGGGTTTTAAAAGCAGTGTAACTGTGAATGTGCAGCAGCCTGAGCCAATTTAAATGAGTCTGGCTCTTCTACTGCAGAGAACCACTCTACTGCCCTGTATTCAGTCTAACTTGGAACAAACTCCATGTTTTGCTTTGTATCTTAATGCTGCAGCAAATTCAGTATTGTCGGTGTTTAATTGTTTTGAAAACCTATTTTTTAGTTCAAAGACCTTCTTATACAAAAATTGTTGTGTGTTGCCATAATTACTTGTCAGCTTTTAATCATTCCATTAACTGTTCACAGTACAGGTCTGCTGTACTCAAACTCCCACTTTGTAATAAACACTGTTTTGTTGCATTAAATCTCAGGGCATATTCTGTCTAATCTGTACTCAATAATGACATGAAAACCTTAAGACTAATTTACTCTTCACTTAATGCTTGTTGATTTTCTTTAATACAGATCCACCACAGATGAATAATGTCATGCCAACATCTCCCCTCCTTCCTCAGATGGCACATCAACATTCATATCCCAGCCTGGGACAGATCACAAACCCATATGAGCAGCAGCCCCCAGGCAAAGAACTGAACAAGTACGCGTCTCTGAAGGCAGTCGGTAAGTGAGCGACGCCACGCGCGAGTCTCCTTTAGCTCAGCTTGTTGCACTTGCTGCTGCCAGCTCCCATTCTGCCTCCAAGTTGAAAACAAGGTCTTGCTCATCTGGACTCTATCATGGTCGGGTTTAATATGGAATAGCATGTTACTTGGAAATGTAATGAAAATTAAGACAAGGACTGCAATTAAGGGATAAGAAAATGACATGCAAGAACTGGTCATGATATGATGTGAGCTCATACATGCACACAAAACCACCCCATGCCCCTGCAAGACATTTTCCAGCAAATTGCACCTGTGTTGTACACACAGGGTTCAGCCCCAGTTCTTTATGCCCCAAACCTGTGAGGAGTAGGGAGTTGGACTTGATGGTCCCTGTGGGTCCCTTCCAACCTGAGACATCCTATACTATGCCTACATATGCATTGTGATGTGTATTTCTCACGGCTTTCTATACAAATGAGAGAGAAAAACATCAGCTAATGATTTAGACACCTGCCCAAAAAAAGAAGGTACTCACACAGTTCTGAAGCAAGAGCTTCCACATTCGCTGTAAGATGTACTTTAGTAGATACCTGGAGGAATGTTCTGAGATCTCATGATTTCAAACAACTAGTGCATGATAAAACTTCTAATAAAGATCCCAGTGGTGGCTTATTTCTGTGCCTGATTAATATTATTTTAAATGAATGAGAGAACACCCTCAAAGAAACAGTTGTGGGGAGGGAAAAGGACAATAATGAGTAAAAAATTCAAGATAATTTTCATCTTGAATGTCTAAGTTTATCATAGTTTTCAGGGGCTGTACACCCTGTAATGACAGAAAGCCCCTTCTAGACAGTAGTACATTAAGAACGGGGGTGTCTTTTCCCACTAACCCTTGCTCAGCTTTCACATATAGATGTTAACGTCATTTCCCCATAAATTCAGAGTAATGCTACTCTCCCTATTTCCTAACAGAGATACATATCTAGAAAAAGAGCAGAACAGCTCAGAGCTTTCTGACTTAAGAATCGAGTCTTTACCGTGCCAGAAAAAATTTTCGTCACAAACTTACATTCCTTTATCTGGATTTCAGGATACCAGACCTCTAACAAAATGTACATCAAAATCCCATTTCAAATAGTTCAGTTTTACTTTAGCTTGTTGGCTTTATATCTTAAAAGTGGTGTTTTAAATCTGTTTATAAAACAAGGGTTAATAGCTTTCTGCTGGGATTTGAATATCAAGCAGCTTCACAATTCCTCCTTCAAAAGGTGCTGCTGTGTAATGATGTGGTGATTATCACAGATTTATGCACTGATATTGAGCTTCTTTTTCAGATGTCAATTTAGGTCAAGCCAGTCATCAAAGGTGAAAGGTATTTAAGCATAACAAAATGAGAGATGAAACACTCTAAGAAACTTCACTCATCTGCCCAAGAGCCACTGAATGTACTTTTAAAAAATTATTAAATTAGAACTTATATATTTCTTGTCTGTCTGAGTACAAGTTTTTAAAGCAGCTAGATTACAACCATACAGTTAAATCAGCCTTAAAAGATTGTGCACTTCAGCTCCAGAAGTTGTATAATGCCTCTCAGAATCTTAAACTAAATTAAACATAATTTCAGAGACATTTTCTTCCAGGGGGATTGCACCATCTTCCCATGCTTTTCCCGTATTCTTCCCCTCCCTTCTACCTTTTTTCCAAGTTTTAGATGCAGGTGAATTTTCACAAGTAAAGTGCTGCATTGTGATCCAAACTTCTCAGCAGAAAACAAGAGAGGTTTTGAAAGAGTTACACATTCACACCTTCTGTCTGGACTTATGGAACAAGAACTAAATAAGTGTATTTATGGGTTTTCAACCACTTTCAGACTCTCAAGGCAGTGATTCCTCCCAAGTGCACCTCCTGAGTACATCCCAAGGTCACAAAGAGGTTTTTCCCTGATGCCAGCCAAGCCCGGGTCTGTGACCACGCTGACATCCAGCTCTCCAGACTGCAGGGTTCCTGTTGGCTTTCAGAGAGCTCTGACAGGAAAAAGGAGCTGGCCAGCATCAAGCCCACCAGTACAAATTTAACCTGACAGCATCTTTTGAGCAACCAGACACAGACTGAGTTCACCCTGACCTCATGTCTCAGGGCAAAGCATTTTTTGCCTGCCAACATTCAGACCTGTATTTATGGATCCCCACAGCAGGTTAATGAGTGTGTGTAATCCATTCTCTTTTGCCTTCATTGATAGTGGCTTGAGGGTGCATTCATTTGCCACAAGAGAAACTTAATAAGAGATGTGTTCTATATTTCTCCATGCATTTGAGGCAAACCATATTTATTGAAGTGCCCCTTACTCTGTATGATGCCACTGTTTGCGTGTAGTCCACTATGCTTAACCCTTTTCTTTAATACGGGATTGAAGGAAGAAGCATTTCTAATTTTTTTAGCAACTGTAGCTATAGTACATTAATATCCCTCATCAGAATGTGGCCATAAGTGGTAAGAAGTTTAGATCACTGAAAAAGTGAAGCTTTACCAGAGGCAGTATTAAATTAATTTCTACACAGCTGCTTTCTTCTGAACTACAGATGTCCTAAAATCTTGGCTTATTTTAGAATTGAGCTACTCATTCCTCAGTGATTGTCTGCTGTGAAAATGCAGTTTATGGAAAAGTAGCAAGTCACATTAATCTCTGTTTTGATCATGTTCAGGTTCTCCATTAACTTCAATAAAGATTCAAGTGCATGTGAAAACAAGAGACAAGAGAGCCCTTGCTATCAATTTGCATTGTGCTACTGAGTAAAATGACCCATACCTTGGTAGTGAGAGCAAGCTGATCCCCAGGAAGCAATTTTAAAGCTACACCTCATACTCCAGGTGGCAGAGCTTAGCAGAGTGTGGCTGGACATTGGGCGGCTCATGCATGTGTGCCATGCAATGTGTGCGCTGCAGCGTCTGATTCAGCACCACAGGGGAGGAGAGAGTTCAAAAGGCTGCTGTGGATGCCTTCAGCTTTAAAAAGCTACATATTTTTACTTGAATAAGCTCAAAGTGCACAACCAAACACTTTTACACTCAATGGAAGAGGATGTTTTCCTCACTTCTTGTTAGGAATTCCTTTTTTTGCTGCAGAAATTCCTGCAGCAACAATGAATTTTTTTCCTCCAGAATTCCTTAAGTACTGACAATGGTTGTTGACCAGATTCACCTTTTCCCCTTACTGCCTGCTGGCATTTACATCTCTGAATGATGTGAGGACATTCTGTGCCTATTTTATATTCTCAGATGAGTGCCTGCAGTACAGCAATGTACTGGTGAGTTGAGATGTGCTTACTGTTTTCCTCACTGCACTAGAATTTTACTCTCCTACCTTGGCACACACACCACCAGGGAATAATCAGCAGAGGCAGAGGACCACTTGGAAATGAGATAGAGAACACCCATTTCCTAAACAAATAGACAAGACATTTTCCTCCTAGCATCTCCAGCCTACCTGGCTGACTGCTCTGACTTACTGTTAGGTGCACTCTCTTCATCCATTATTTTTCCATTTTCAAGCCACAGAATCTCTTTTCAACAGTGCCAAATTTTTCCTACCTCAGAATGTGAGAGACTGTCTGAGGGAAAAGGGTTAACAAGCTCCGAAACCACTCCCAGCAGAAGTGGTCATTGAATTTTTTTGCGCCAATAAACACCCAGTGTTTAGAAATTTCAATTTTTTGGTCACCTGAGAAAACATGATCCTGGTTTTCTTCAGTGCTTTTGCAGTATTTGATTATTTATGTGAAAAGTGCGGAAAGAGGTTTTTCTGCATAAATTATTCTTATTTCCAGTTCATCAACCATGCTTTTACTCCATGCTTAAATGGTTATTGCTCACTTAAGCAATACTGACATGCCTGAAGCTACAAGTGGATGGAGATCTTGTATCTGAACACCTTCATGAAATTCAAATCCCAGGACATACAAAGGTAGTTCATCACAAATTTTTATGCACATCATTTGGACATTCATTTGGAAAGCATGAACAATCCAACGTCAAAATCCACTCTGCTAAGCTTTAAGAGTTGTAGTCCATTCTGTTGCTTAAGAGTTTCCTAGAGCTCAAATGGGCCTCCTCATCCTGAGTTATTAGTTATTTATCTAGTCACCCTGTTCTGCAAGTCTGGATCTGTAGCAGTTTATTTTCTTTCCTGAGTTTCAGGGAGTGCAAAGTTATTAAATATCTTTAGACCTTCTTGCAGTAATGAAAAAATTCCCCAAACCCAACCTAAATCCCCAGAGGACTGGGAAGATGATCACTCAGCTGGCTGGAGAGGTGCACAAACATACAAGTAAAAACTGGGAATACAAATGTTTCTACAGTTTAACATGATTTTCTGTTTCCTTCATGAATTTTCTTCTTCCCTTTTCATACATACACTAACATTTGAGGAACTGACTAGACATTGTCAAAAAAAAAAAAAAAATTAAATAAACATACAAGGGACAAAATTCCTTCCCGAAACACAGACCGAGAAAGCCTTCCCTAATGCTGGGAGTTGTTAGTCTCCTGTGGGATTAAATCAGATCTAATTGATTTGATACAGTGAAGCTAGGAGGATATAATTGGCAGCAGACCCACCATCACATCTCTGAGTCTACAGCTCCCAGCATTTCTTGAAGCTGCACAGTTCTTTGATCCCAGAGGAAACATTAGACTGTGATCCAGCTCTGCTTGCAGTTGCAAAACTGCAAAGTGAGATTCTGCAAACATGACACTCAAAGAATAAATACCTCCTGGTTAGGTCCCTGCAGAAAGCAGTGTGGCCACAAGTGTGCCAAGGCACCAGGCAACAACTCCCCGGAAAGGTGAAGCACATGAGCAAACTGACCTGGTCCTGTGTCCTCTGCACACAAGGAAGGATCCACAGGGAAGATCACCCGAAAGTTAGCTCTGGGCTGCCATCTTTGAACCATCTTCTTGTCTGATGGGAAATTTGTTGCTGCTTTCTCCTGAGCTTCAAACCTTCCATTTCCATAG